CGCACACATATGCGCAACTTTGGTTAGATTGTGCCCAGCTACTTTTATTTTAGAGCCGCTGTGGTGCACTGGTTAGAGTGCAGTACTGCAGGCTAATTCTGCTGAACACCAGCTGTTGGCAGTTTGGCAGATCAAATCTTGCCAGGCTCAAGGTTGACTCAGCCTTCCTTCCTTCTGAGTTTGGTAAAATGAGGACCCTGATTGTTGGGGCCAATATGGTGATTCTATAAACTGCTTAGAGAGGGCTGTAAAGCACTGTGAAGTGGTATCTATCCTGTTTCCCTGAAAATAAGACCTCCCCAGATAATAAGCCCAATCGGGCTTTTGAAAGCATGTGCTAAAATAAGCCCTCCCCCCAAAATAAGCCCCCCTTAAAATATTACAACACAGCAGCAGCCATGAGGTGACCATACTCACTGCCTCCTGCACCTCAAAAATAATAAAACCTCCCTGCAAATAAGGACAAGAGCTTATTTTGGGGGTCAAAAGAAAATAAAATCCTGTCTTATTTGGGGGGAAACATGATAAGTCTAAGTTCTAGTGCTATTGCTATTTTCAACATTTTTTCCAAATTCAAATTTAAATAAATTCAGACAATATCATATGCATATGTTTTCATATAATGATGTTTACCTAGTGATTAGTCTTAACTACTGCAATAATTCTGGGCTTATTGTATTGTCACACTTGATTAAGCCAGAGAACACAGCTGACACACCTTAAATAGGCTAAAGCAGTGTGCATTAGGGTTTGTACAAAGCACTAATGAAAGCATCCTCTGCAAAATATGTAAGAATGAACAAAGACCCTCCTCTCCAAAGCAGAGGACAACATGCTGTCCAGATGACTCAATGCAGCTGCTGTGAACATTTGCCCAGCTGCTAACCCAGGTGCGTTGCTCCACAAGTGTTTTCCCTTATCAGTTGTCCTAGCAGAAGTATTGTTCATGCATGTACATGCAGAGGCAATATAGTCGAAACAGAGATAGACAGGGACACTTGGCTCTAAGATTTTCTAGTGATCTTCTAAGCTAGTATTAACCAGGCTCAGTCTTGCTGGGTTTTTTTTTTTAATCAACATAGGCAGCCTTAGCATAATAATATGCTGCATTTTAATGTCCACTTTTTATTGATTATGAAAACTCTAATTAAAAGACCAAAAGTAATGCACTCTTTTACTTCAAAGAATCAAAAGAATCATACATATGCCATGTTTGCTGGAAGAGTTCCATCATCCTTCCCGTGGAAAGACTCTTATTAAATTGGGTTAACAATATTTCTACCTTGTTTCCATTTCTGCTATTATTATAAAGTGTTGATTTCTAAAGCCGGTCATAGGTTTATTCTCATACTGCATTCTTTATTTTAAAAAAACCCTAAATTAAAGGATAAAGAGACCTTATCTTTATAATAGCAAATATTAACAAACAGGCACTAGAGGGCTCTCTTGCATTGTGAAAATAACATTTTGTGCCAAAGTCCAAGAAGCAAGATTTTTGTTATTGTCTGCCTGCCTGTATTTGGGTTTATGCTTTCAGGAAGAATGGCCAGCTTTTTTGCCTTGACCTTGTCCCTCCAGAAGCTCACCAACAATGCAAAAAAAAAAAAAAACCCCATCTGCTGTACCATTTAGATAATTCAAACATGGCATTCTAATATAAGCATTGTATTATATAAAGCCCTGTGCAGATTTAAAGCTTGCAATATTTGCTTCTCAAACATCCAGTTTTATGACAAATGAAAAATCCCTTCAAGGATGTTCTACCATTTCCATGAGTGAGATACCAAATTAGGTGTCCAGTGCCAAACCAATCTTACTTTTTAATTTTTAGTTGCTAAGCTGCAGAACATTTGTGGAGGTTGACCAGATGGTGAAAAGCCTGTCTGGTTTTCAATACTCTTCTTTACAAATCAAGAAGCAGAAAGCATTTTCTCCTCTCTGAACATGCAGCATTCAGTTACACCGATTTTTACACCGCATATTTGGTTTAAATATCTCGTGCTGAATTAGAGTTTATTTTAACCATGGTTTACTGAAGACATTGCAATTTATCCTAAACTAAAAGCCATGGGATTCATTTGGAAAACAATTTATTGTTTATTATTTGGTTATAAAATATAGTCTTTTATTTGAAAAGCCCAGATCATTGAGAATTGTACATTTTTATTTCATTTTTCCTCATGCACATGGTCAGATAAGCATTGTTTGTCATTTGGTGTTTGTCATTTGGTGTTTGTCATTTGGTATCATTATTGGGTACTTACAAGTTGATGAAGATTACTGGATCACTCTTATCTCTGTAAGGTGAGTTATGTCTCATGCTGAATTAGAGTTTATTTTAACCATGGTTTACTGTAGAAATTGTGATTTATCCTAAACTAAAAGCCATGATTTACATGCCATAATAATTGGGTCCACCTAATAACAACCTAAATCCAAAAGGCTGCATTATGGTTAACATGGATGCTTGACCCTGTGACTCGGTTCATACTCATTAAGAAAAACTATGTTTTGCTTTTCTGAGGGTTAACATGTTCTGTGAATGCAGCCATTTGTTTTTGTTTTTTTTATAACAGTGGTTAATGCTAAGCAATAATTAAGATGATGGAAATGAGTTTGAAGAGGATATAGAGTCCAGAGAAAGAGCTATTCTTATCCTAATAATATTCCCTTCCAGTAAATGAATGAGACCTTTTGGTAAACTCTCAGCATGTTGCAGATACTCAGTTGTAGATCTACTGATTCCTTATATGGAAAGTAAATCATGGGCCACCTGGAATCTCTGGAATGTCCTGTTGTTCAGTCATAGGATGCATTCGGAGAACAATTTATTGATATAAATAAAGGTCCCTTCCAACTCTGTTAATACATTAGGGCTTGCATTAAGAACTGGTCTTGTTGGCATCTATTAAATGTCAACGTCCAGAGCCCTTGAACTTATCCAGTAATTTTTGTTGCCGTTGTTCACTTCTTCTGTTAAAGCGAAGGAGCAGTGACCTGAGCAGGACTGGAAAAGCAACAGAAGCCCTATTCTACCCCTTTACACAGGGGCAAACTCCTGAATGCAGTGGGGAAAATTTCCCACTAGTTTCTCTCAGGTAACCCAATAAAAAAGGGGGGAAATGGAAAACCTAATAAAGCATGCACTGTAGTGGTGGGTTACGGATTCCGTTCCAAATGGTACAGTTGGAACGGCCCAGCGTCACCCACATGGATGTGTGCAGCGTGCATATGCATGTGTTGTACTTGCCTGCGATGCCTCCACAACCCTCCACGACACTCCAGCTGCTTGGTGGAACATCGCACAGGCGGCATATGCGCCATGCACGTACATGGAAACGCCAAAGGCTTAAAGCACAGGGTTGGCCATACGGAGCACCAGAACGGAACGGTATCTGGTGCTCCAGACAGGCTCAGGTACGCCCATACCAGGGCATACCACCTGCAACCCATCACTGATGCACTGTCAACTTGGCTGTCCCTTTTCCTAGGACAGATTGAGAGGAACAGAAGCAAAAGAATAACTGCATGCATTGCTGCTATCTTATCCTGGTATTTCCAAACTTATCAAATATATTTATAATAGCATATTGCTTGGTGGCCATTTTATTACTTTGGGTATACTGTGGTTTTAATTATTTTTTTAATCTGTGGCTTTCTTCCTATTTTTGTTTCATTTACTCTATTTATATGAAAAGTGAACTTTAGAATGCTTTTATATAATTTTAATATGTAATCGTCTCTGTGAGATCAATACTATTTATTTTCTAAATATAAAACAACATATGAGATTAGAATTGTGCAATATTCTTTTTTTCTCTCTTTATATACAAAAGAGAACTATGATTTTAGGACCTGAAACTTGGTAAGAATGTTCATTGCTATGTAGATGACAAGAAAATGCTGGGAAACAGAATGCAGCCTAATGGCTGAATACTTTCCACAATCCCTTTCCCAAGACATGGATGATAACAAAAGTGTTATCACCAGCTCTGCTTTCTATGATAGTATCCAAATTCTGGACACAAAATGCTACAAGGCAATTAAGAGCACTTCATTGCTTCATGTTGGCTTGTTTAAGTTCTTGGCTTATCCTGATTCTAGATCATGTTTCTTAACATTTAACATTTATGTGATTTAAAAATTTGCATCTACACTGGAATACAACTTTCAGTTTTGTAAGAGTATTGGCCACCTATGCAGTGGTTACAATGGTATATGGCTTCAAAACAACTTCTTCATCCACGGGCTAAAACATTCTAATTGCTGTCCTAGATACGTTATGTTGGAAATGTATTTATAGAATACTGGTATATCTAGGGTAGAATTCAAAAGGTTTTACAACAATAGATTCTTTTTATATGGTTACAAGAGACCAGAGGCTTTCTGCCTTTGAACAATTGTTTGGTTTTCTTCAAAAATGTCATTATTAAATGTGACTCTCAAGGCTTTGGAAATTAAAACTGAAGACAACACTCATACTTTTGCAGTATCAGAGGCAATGTTTGCTACACTAAAATCTTCCTTCCCACTGAGGATCCTTTTCTTTTATCTTATTCTGAATGACATGTTTTGAAATTAATGCCAACAGTCTGGTATTCTTTGATCATTTATCAGAGAAATCATGTCATAAAAAATTAGCTCAATATTAGAAGACTGGAACATCAAAAACTGTTTATAATTTCAGTGAAATACAGCAAAAGTGAACAATGTTCAGTGCCAAGGACACCTCTTGGCACAAAAGCATCACAAGATAAGCTATCCGCAGCAAATCTGTATAACACTGAGGTGTAACTGACAAAATTCATATAATATCTTCACAAGCCATACATGGTTGCTGTTTGGCTGGCATTTGCATTTCACACTGCAACCAGACACAATGATTTAGATGCACATAGTCACTTTTCAGCTCATTAGCAATTAAAATGTTCTTTGCTACACCAATATAGAAGACATTTGTATATTGCAGAAATGGAAACGCTTGTTTAAGAATCTTGAGGGTTATGGCAGAAGGAACATGATGTTGCTAGACCATGTCCGAAGAACTGATCTTTAGTTTTGCTATGCATCTTTGGCTGTGACATTTTATTTTCATTGGGAAGAAAATTTGGCAGCTTTAGAACAGCAGCATATTCCACCTTGTTAGATAGTTCCAGGCAATTAATTAATCACACAGTCAATATTATAATTCTAAAAACATTCCTGACCATGAAACATCTCCTCTCATCTCCAAGTTGCTTTTGTATTAGATATTGACAAATGGAGCAGTTATCATTCATGTGATCTGTTTTTGGATTTTATGAGTAATGAAGCACTCCACTGCAGCACTTCTACTTTTATCTCCACAAAATCACGAGAACTTGAAATTGTTTCATTGAAATTAAAGTTACGACATTCAGTTTCAGGAGTGTTGTGAGGTCATAGCTGCAAAAGTTTCTTGAAGCACTTTGCTGTCTAGCCATGGGATGGGAACAGCAACCCAGGACAATGGTTAGATATAGATTTTAGAATATTGTTGGCTTCTAAGTTCATAGGTTTCATGCCCATCGATTCTCAGGGGCTCTTTTTCATCTGCTGTATCAATATCTTTCATCTGTGGATAATAAGCAGAAGATGCTTTGCATTCATAATGTCTGTCAATGGATTTTAAGTGCATCAACATGTGAAGAGCATAAGCTAAAACAAGAAGCAGTATCAGAGACATCACTAGACCCATTAGAATGGCTGGTGGGAAGAGGGAAGCACAATCTTTTGCATAAGCAAATTGTCCATCTTCAATGTTAAATCCTTGAATCTGTGAAGAAAATCAAATAGTCTAAATTAAGACAACTTCCCCTTTTAATCCAAAGGCATGCTATTTTTTGATCAGCATTGGTGATCAAAATTATTTTCCCCACTATCAGTTGCTGAAATAGAAATCAGAATCTATTTCTGTTGAGATTCTTGTGTGTCATCAAGGAATTTTAAAATAAACAAGGTTAGAAATCTGGTATATATATGTGTGTGTGATATTGCAGAAGTTAAGCCTGGACTGACTTCCCAAATAAGCTGGGATACAGTACTACTAACAGATCTGAAGGGAATTTGTCTAAATTAGGATAGTCAAGAAACTACCAAAGATTGTAAGATTCAAAGTTCAGGTTCAGGTTTAGGAAGATAAACCCAATAGTTTATTAAAACAGAGACAACTATTCTGTGCAATGCACATAAAAAACTGTCTGAGCTTCAATCACACTGTCATGGATTGACTCTTTTAATCACAGCCTGCAGACATCCCTGCTGTGGAAACAGTTAAGCTGTTTTTCTCCTTGACAGGCTTGTTTACTTCTCTTTGCAAATTTCAGCAACTTCTTCAAGTGTCACCTTGACACAAATTGAACCATCCCCAAACTACATAAACCAAATCAGTGAGATGAAACCTGAAACTAGATATCCTGGTAAGTGCCTTTGCCATTTCATCTTATCACAACATCTAGTTGGGACAACAATAAACAACCAGTAATGTTCAGTTCATGTAATTCATTAATATAGTCTATCAACTTAGTACAATAAGAAAAAGATAACTTCAATATGGCGGTACCAGAATTTTCAGGAGGAAGCATATTTATAACCCTGTATACTCTAAGACTAATATGCATTTCTGTTGTGGCCCAGCAGGAGCCATTGGAGCTGCCACCAGACTCCGACAGTGAGGGGCCCTATGAGTCGGCTCTGGAGGATGTGGAGGACCCTGGACAGGGTTCCGACTCTGAACAGGGCGCAGAGTGGCTGTTTGGCCACCAGGAGGCACCTGACCCTTGGACCAGTGGGGAGGAGACAAGAGAGTGTGAGCCTGAGGTCAGCAGTGAGTTGTTCCTGGATGCACGGCACCAAAGATAGGCGTCAGAAACAGTTGCGCAAGTACAGGAGGTAATTGCACTCAA